CGTCATTCAAGCTCGTAGACCCAAATAGTTAAGTTATTGAATTAATATACCAGATCAACAAATGAATAATAATTGATCGTTAAATAACGATATCAACATACAATTAAGCAAGACGCACACAGCAGAAAGCATAATGTGCATGAAAGAAAGCAACATGTAAAGTCAGAATGCAAGATGTACAAGTCAGAATGCATGATGATGATGTACAAGTCAGAATGCAAGATGTACAAGACAGAATGCAAGATATACAAATAAGAAAGCACGATGTAACGTAAGAAAGCAAGATGTAATTTTGGCGTTATTATTCTTCCATATTATTTTTTTTCATTTAAATTACTAATCACAAATTATCGTTAACAACCCAGCGTTTGTAAGGCAGCCTTTCAACAACTCATGTTTTCAAATTTCCTAGCCGCTTTTTGAATGTTTACACATCTGTCAACACTTATTAGATTTTATTTTCTGTAACAATCCTCAAATAAGTTTTCTTACTTCTAAGAAGATGTACAAGTAAAATGCTTTCCTGCGGGGAACATTTTTAATGATATAAAGATATTTTATTTAACCATTTTCAACATTGTTTTGGGGGAGGGGAATAAATAAACGTTTGTATCAGGAATATAGTTGACAATAATCGATCAATATAGAAGAAGGTCTTTGGAAACTGATGACCGTTGATGACCGGAGAAGGTCGAACATAAAACAATTATTTATTTTTAAGAAAATGATTAAATAGGCCTACCATTTTATGAATATTTCCAAGACAAAAAAATAATAAAGTAAACACACAAGTTTACGCAGAAAATATCTCAATTTATTATGGCAAATGCCACTACGAATATTTTAATTTTGTAGATTTTCAGTATTATAAACAATTTATTGTTTGTAAAATTTGAGATACATATATTAAAGAAACAATGATAATTTTCAAATACATCATTCAATTTTTTCCACCTTAAACGGTAAAATAATTATAGAAAATTAGAAATATCACGTAATAGTTTTTTGTTCTTAATTAGGTGTAATTCTGATTTCCCTAAAGATAATTCCGTAACGTACCGACAAACGGTATTTAGCCAGGTTTTCGAAAAGGTCAATTAACCAATCGTGTACGGTTAACAGATCACATGCTCCTCCATGTACCGAAAACAGGTCACGTGCTCCTCCATGCGTCAAAAGTTAAACGCGTACCAATACCCTGCGGTCTCCAAACCGCAGGGAATGACTAACAAAACCATGATATCATAACATTGATATCCCTCTGAATCAAACACAATTATGTTCCTCTCATGAAATACACAATTTTTAAAAATGGCGTCCGCTTACAGGTCTAATATAAATTCGCAGTAAGTAACGGAAATAAGGTCGGATGGTGTGACTTTTTTCTTCTACTAGAATTGTTTGTTTTTATTATTAAAAGAAGTGATCATTCATATTTTTTTATAAAATGAATAATGCCAATTCACGTTGATTGTCGAACTTTTTTCAGCCCAAGACTTCTTGTATGAAATTCGACTAATAGAGTCTACCAGAGGGGAAAACAGATTTTAATATAATGTATATATTAAGGAAATTTCTTTTTAACCTGTTTTTAAGCATAAAATAAAAAGAAAATGTGTTTATTTATTTGTTTGTAAGATGTAATTTTATTTCATCTCGTGAATTTTAAAAACAGTATTCTCACTCGTGGCTACGCCACTCGTTAGAATACTGTTTTTAAAGATAAAATTTCATCTTACACACAAACAAACAAAAATCCTCTATATTATGGTTAAAATATATTTATTTAAGCTCGATTGCGAAACAAGTTCTTCCAACTTATATTAAACACTTTCTAGCCCGCTTTCTGGAACCAACCAGTACTGGTGTCATGAATATGAAAGAAACCATGATCCCTGGGTTGCGAAGCAGACACCTTTACCACGAAATGTTAATATTTCATGTAAACTTAGATGTTGATTTAACATGTAAACAACAAATGTTAATATTTCATGTAAAATTAAATGTTGATTTTCCAATCAAAATATTTCTTTGCCGTGCTGTACAATTAGCGAGGGTTTTTGGAACATCTTTTTTCTCGTTGGTTACATTTAAAAAAAATATTGTTTCTTCTTTTCGTAATAAATGGAACATATTTTCACGGGACATGATAAAATTCAAAGTATTTTCACTCGCCGTTCCGTTATATGGACTTTTATCATGTTTCTTGAAAATATATTCCATATTTCATTCAAACGAAAGAAAATCCTTATATTATGGTTTGAATATATTTATTTTAGCTCTCAAGTTCTTACAACTTATATCAATCACTTTCGAGTCCGCTTGCTGAAACCAACCAGTAATGGTGTTATATGAAAAAAAGACATGGTGGTGACCCGATTAGGGCTCGAACCTATGGTCCGTTGGTTGTGAGGCAGACACCTTAACCACTAGACCACCCCTTCTGTCAATATGTATCAAATTACTGAATACAGCAAAAATGTACGTATCATGTTGAGTGAAAATATATACAATATTTCACGAAAAAACGAAAAAATAACCTTTTTATTTAATTTCATTGTTACGAACCCTCTTGCTTGCTACGCAACTGCAATTGTACAGCGCACAGTAATATATTATGGCGTCTTGTTTTGCACGCGATATTTGGCGCTACATTGTGACGTCATGTAAACAGCTGTTTAAACGTCTGTACAGCGTTAATAACTGAATTAAAGATATTGGTGTTCGGATCAATTTTCTTAATTAGACCATTTTCTATCATTCTAGATAGTTTTCAAAGCAAAATTCAACAAAAAAGTTGTTTTGTATTTATCAGATTTTTTAAAACAAAATGGCGAAAGAAGTCCCTTAAAATAAATATGGGTTTTGACTTCGCCCACTTTCATATTTATATTTCATATTTATTTAAAAAAAGAAATATATTTGACTGATATAGCACCATATTTCATTGGTAAAATTAAATAATTGCAGATATCTATATTAAACTTACATTCACACCAACATCATGGAAAACTGACCAAAACCTTCACTAAATATTGATTTAAAATTATATAAAGAACGTTTTAGAATTAGCTGATATTGATTTAATTTCAACACACAGTCTTCAATGTGAACCTTTATTAACACTTAAATAAGACCAAATTTTAGGCCAATCAAACAAATATCGGCCAACAAATTAAACAAAATATCATGCTTAATTACTTAAAATTTTCAATCCATTTTACAGTTATAATATATTTCTATTTTAGTATACAAATTGTCATTGTACACATGTTTAGTTGGCATTAAACTAAACTTTTTTTAAGATGGAATTTAACTTCTAAAAATCTCATAGCGAGGTTATTTTAATTTGCCATTTAGCTACTGAACCCGCTCTTAAAATCTCAGATAGCCAGATATTAACTGAAGACTAATTAATTAACGATTAAAAGATAAACACTTTATGACGGTTTAATCACAGGGGTTTAAACATTTATTTTAGCTCGAGTGCGGAACAAGTTCTCAGCACTTACATCATTTAATTTTATCATATTGAATACACTAATTAACGATGTCAATTTCATGTATATATACGTTTCCAGCGACATTTCTTCACGATTTCGACATCACAAAAAAAAAAACATTATAGCAACTGAATGTATTCAACTTCACAAATTAGAGCCTAACGGTTTCGCATTTTCAAATACATAAATTAACAATTTCAAATTTACAATTCAACTTCATCAATAAAAAATATCAAATTACTGAATTTACTTTCGTGAATTTACTATTTCATTTCATCTTTACAAGAATTTGGATTTGAAAATGTAAAATTGTAAATCGTTCAGTAATGAAGTTAAAATTGTGATGACGTGAATTCGAACATTTAAAATCGTGAATACATGAGGTTGACATCGTCAATTTTTTGAAGCTGAAATTTTTGAAACTTGAATTCGTGATGCAGTTGAATTCATGATTCATGGAATTGAAAACGTGAATTCATTTTGTTTAAATATTGCAATTTTGAAGTTAAAGTTGTAAATATACGAAGTTTTAATGTCACCACCGGACTTTCAGTGTTGTTATATTTTTCTGGTCCTTCGGAATCATTGATGCCAGCACTATTAAGTGTTGAGAATTGAGTACCGTTCAAGACGGTGCTAGGGGGCGTGAGGGATGTTGCACTCATTCATTATCCCTCATGTACAGACTCAATCAAACCGAGTCTGCAATTCTTATGTAATTTTGTTGTGATTAATGCTTCCGAGGGATCACTTTGTTCTAGATTTCGTAATTATGTTATACATTTAAAGTACATTTTATTAATACGTTTAATGCTGTAATGCACTTACAATCATCCTAAAGTAAATTATTATTTACTTTCATAAGTATGACTTAATGTTTTCTGTTGCTTTTTTATAATTGGAGGAAAATAAATTAAACAAAAGTTTTGAGTTAAAAGCGATTATGTTCTTTTTTGACCGTATCAATCCGAATATTTTGCATCTAAAAAAACATTTAGAACCGCTTAAAATGGAGTCACTGATGCATACCCGGTAACCGTATCCATTCAAACCACAGAATTTATAGACGAAGTTTTGAACATATTTATTTGGTTTATTTATCAGGTAGTTTTTTATTATATATTTTGTTCGTTTTAGGAATGTTAAGTGATATTTCTTTAGTACTTCCGCTTTTTTTCAAATAGAAATAACGATATCAGAATTGTGATAATTCTTTCCGTATAATTATGAGTCTTGCTACTTTATGATTAAGCTTAACTGTGACTTGATACTTAAGTAAAACAAATTCGAAAATTTTATTATTATAATTCACCTTTAACTTTTTATACAAAGGACATATACAAAGACACTTTCAAATGTAAACTCAAGATATTACCAACACAAAAGAAAAATAATAAAAGTAGCCTTGTTTAGCGATGTGTTAAATATATATATTTGAGGGAATTCCTATAAGTGGATCAAATTAGTATCGATATGTATATTATTCCCGTTTTCTAGATTGTTTTACACATATGAATACTCGATAATGTTGTTGAAGGAAACGTCAGGATTTCTACTAGTACTTTTCGCTGATATGGTATTTTCTAGTAAGTTCTTTTACGTCATTATAATTTGATTTTTTTTTAATTTTCCTTACATTTTTTGTATGCATCTATGAAATATTGATTTTTTTTATTTTATTAAAATAACTTATTTTGTGTCAGGTTTAGAATTTTATTTTTTATAAAACAAATCTTTCTCAGCATATTTATGGAACTTAATATTGTGAATGTGGAAATACATATAAATAAAAATATTTAAATATGCAAAAACTATTGGAGGAATATGTAATTTGGCAAAAATATTCATATTTACAGAATGTTCTGTTGGCTGCCAATCATGTTCTAGGTCAACTTGCACAAGTTGCGAACCAGCTTACTTTTTATCAAATGGCTTTTGTTCACCATGCCCCGAAAATTGTCAAAGCTGTAACAGTTGGGATGACTGTACGTTATGTAAGCCGAAAACGTATGGTTTGCACGAAAGATGTTCTTTCAACTGTCATGGTAATTGTCTAAATACTGAATGTCAAGATGATACGGGATATTGTATACAATGTAAGCCTGGTTTCTATGGACATCAATGTCAACACAATTGTAGTTTATGTGAAAATGAACGTTGTGATTTACGTATCTGCTCGAGTGGTTGTACAACTGGATATTATGAGTATAAAACCGGTATCGATACAATGTGTCAAAATTGTCCGACAAATTGTAAACATTGTAAGGATGGTAAAACATGTTATATTTGCAATTATGGTTTTTACCTCTATAAGTTTTATGGCAATGTTTACTGTGTGCAATGTCCGGACTGTGTTATTCAAGGTTGTAACCAGTGTCAAATACACAATGGTTCGTTAGTCTGTGCTGATTGTCCAGAGGGACAGATATTCAATGGTGAGACATGCGGATCACACACATTATTGTGTAAAGGTAATTTTTACTCAACCAATTGCAGTTTAGCCTGCAACCCGGCATGCATGGTAACAAGTGGTAAACATACATGTGAACATGCAGACGGATATTGTTTAAACGGATGTAAACAAGCATTTTGGGGCAATACCTGTGATAAATCTTGTCCTAGTGGATGTAAAGACCTTAAATGTGATAGAAACATCGGTACATGTACAGATGGATGTAAGAATGGGCTGACCGGAGATAAATGTACTGAAGCCATTTCAATCGATGGACAAGGTGCATATTATTACTAACATAAATTCATTTCAAAATAATTAATCTATTTATTCATATGGATTAAATCAAATTCACAATAACCATAAATGTTAGACATTTATAATAATTCGCCCTTTTTTATAATGGCAATAAATGGATTATTGGAAATACTTTATTTTCTTTCTTTACACTTGTTAGTATGACATGACTTTGGATGTTGGTAATCATTATATGCGCACGTAGTAGTATACATTTTAAACGTTTTTACTCGTGTAAATTAACAATTAGATATAATGCGCATATCATACTAACTCATTAGCACTGAATAAAATCCATGTTATCATGGATATGTAGACATTATTTTTCATCATTTCATCGTTTTATATAGCATGCAAGTGATATTGGAGATAATTTATTTGTCATGTTCGTACCTAATAGTAATGTGATTGTACAAGAATATGATAAGAGGATTGAAATGATATCTGGACTGGTATAATATGTTCAATAAAATATATAGACAATAATTATGTGCTCAAACGAAAACGGTAATAATTGTAAATAGTGTAATGACGACTTTTACTCTTTCGATTGTAGTTTAGCAAAGGAATGATCTTAAACGACTGTATGTGCAGATTTTGGCGTGAAAAACTGTTACAGTAATCATTAGAGCATAGTTAAGATCATGTTTATTTCACGTTAATGTTATATCTACAGAAACACCAGAAACAACAACAAAGTCAGCCGGAATTGTAACACAACAACAAACATTTGTGCGATGTGACGATAAAGCTAATGATTTTACCATTGGTTATTTCTCTGGATTCGGATCTTGTGCTGCCATAGTAGTATTTGCTCTATTGTTTTACCTTATAAGACGAAGGTGAATGTATTCACTAATTTAATACTATACAAGATGTGTACATGTGTTCTTTATGTAAAATAAATTCTCTTTTCTGATAAATTTTAATAATTATGATAATAGACATGATTTTATTGTCACTATTTAATTATGACTAAATTGTTATTTTGCACTATCAAGTTGAATATTACGGTTGTTACTTGTTTGCATTTTTACGTATCACTTAAAATACACTTAATATGAAGTAATGTTTAATGATATTATCAATTCTATTATTTAATACAGGTATCTTGCAAGTAAAACGCCTAAAGATAACAGACGTAACGTTGAGATTCCAACATACTATAACACTAGAACTGATTTCGGCGCTGTAAATACTGAGTCAGCTGAAGTGACTAATAATTACGAGAGTTTGAGTAATAACAGGACCACGGATAATGTATACAATGGTAATTGCAATGTGTTTACTTGATTTACCTAGAATAATGATAATTTTAAGAACTTGATGTCATTATTGTTGTTCATATTATCATTTATTCATTATGATTGATTTGTTAATTAATTAGTTAATTAATTGATTAATTAATTAATGTTATATTACGTTTTGTACTTATTTATTTTTAGATATATTCATTCATTTATTTATTTATTTTGTATGTGTTTACTTATTTATTTATTTGTCTATTTATTTACTTGTTTATTTTCAGATCTCAGAACAACATTGTCATAGATGTAAGAGAAATTGGAGAGTTGTAGTGGTTAACTAGTGAAAACAACAGAATGAATTGTTACTGTATTTGTTGTTCCTGTGGTGATTGATGCATATTATAACTATCCTTACCTAATCACTTTGAAAACGTCTTATATTCATAATAAGCTTGTTGTAAGGGATGAAACTCTATTTAGTTCTAGCAATATTTTAACATGTAAAATACGACTAAAGTGTTTTTGAAAATTAATTTACCTTCAAGTTGTTATTGTTTATAAACGTATTTTCTCGAATATTGCAATTCTGTATTTGCAAATGGCTTGGGATTAAATTTTCAAAATACCTACCTTCCCATGTGATAACTCTAATCGATATGTTTAGTTCAGAACACAAATATAATTGAAATGTAAACTTTACTACAGTATGGTAAAAGTAAGAAACCAGCAAAATGTTCAATTCTTTCATCTTTATTTAATCATACTTCCTAAATTCTTTCAATTAAAGAATGTGTAATTTAGTTAACGTTACTAGTTGAGTTCGCTGAACAATATACGTTTGTATTATTTCAGTATTGTGTGACACAGATATAGCATGTATAATGGTTACAGTATCCTTAAATTTGTTTGACGTCTGTGTTTTCATATTAATGTTACGGGCAATGCCATTTTACTAAACTAAGAAAAGATTAATTTATTATTGAAGCATAGAAAGCGTGGCATAAACTATATAAAAACATAAGCAATTTATATATCATTGTGCTAGTTTAATTTCAATATAAAATGTATACTTATATCTTATAACAGTTTATTATTGTTTACATATTTTACATTATTTATTTTGTAATGTTTGATTGTAACATGTATAACAATATTCTTGAAAACCGTATCAGTTTTCATTGCAGTGTTTTTTGATACAGAATTTGGTCGTAATTACTTCTGCAAAATTGTTCCCAATCAAATTGTACTGTTTACCTACAAATTAGAGTGATAAAATGTGGACAAGTCCCTTACATAAAAAGCATCTTTACATATTTTAATTTCAAATTACGAAATCTATAATGCTAACAATTGGCTGAACGTCATTTTTTTACATTTGGTCATATTGAAATCTTTAATGTAAGAACATAAGCGTTAAAACAGCTTTAAGAGTATATTTTAAAACATATCACTTAAATGTGTTTTAATTGAGGTTTGTATAATTGGTGTTAAGAATATTTTATTGGCTTTCAATCTTAATCACATGTTCGGCATGTTTTAGTTATGATCATCTTACTTTTTTATCAATTAGTGTTCGTTCATTGTGCTATATAGATTTTAACATTTCTTCAATAACTGTACTTCATGTGAACAGAAATAATTACATTGTATTATATTGTATTCATGTAAGTTAAACTTTTACCAGTGATGATAATTGTCGAAATAGTAAATATAGAGAGGATACGATATATTGTTACCAATCCAAGCCTGGTTTTTATATGCTTATATGCAAGGCTGATCTGGGTATTATTAGTATAAAACCGGTTTAAAACAGTATATAAAATTTGTTGGTCAAATGGCAATGAAAACGGATTCTCTACAGAAGAATGCGAAAGATCTTACTCATGGACGGAAAGTGCGAATTACCGTCCCTGCCCCATACAATAAAGCTCGAGAGAAACTGCAAATATTTGTCTACATTGCAATAGATCAGAATGTAGTTAAGTTTGTCATCCTTCATGTTCGGGACGGTAAAAGAACAATGTGGACATGCAGATGGATAGTGTGTTCATGAGTGTTTACAAAGCTATATGGGCGAAACCTGAAATAAGTCAGTTTCGTTACTGATGATCAGATATGTGGCAAAAACCTGTAATTAAAAACATGTAATGAATAATTATGTAATTAAGGATGCAAAGATGGAAATCTCGGAGATAAATATTTTCAAAAAACTACGGGGTGCGAGTATGTATATACCGGTTTATATAGACAAATACATACATTTTATGGATATTATGATACTTGTTCAAAGAAAGATTTTGACGTAAAATATTGAAGAGGACCTGATAAGCATTAAGAATAAATACATAAAAGCGAGCATTGGCTTGTCAATAAAAAGACAACGCCACAGAGTACATATCGTTTAAACCCTAATTTGATACAAACTTTCCTGATTTTCTGAAAAGAATATACAGTATTAATATTCCGATATATCATGAAACATTTTGTTAAAAGGGCTCTCTAGTTCTTGCATATACATTTACTTTGTGTAAAATATTTATGCAAGTACATATACTGAAGTTATAATCACATTTACGTCACACATAACTGACCCCTGTATCCTATTACTGACATCATGCTTATATTTTCATTTATAATTGAGATCACTGAATTCATTATATATTTTCAAGAGTTACTAATTGTGATTGTCCAACAGTTGATACTGGATCATGTTTAGGTAACTTAAATGTAAAGAGACTGCCGAACTCTTTTTTATAAATAAATGCAATAGATAATTTCAGACCGAAATCTTTATAAACCTCCTCGGGCCATGTGAGTTATTTATCGTCCATGCAAAGTAAATTGTATAAAAAATGAAAGCAATTATAGCAAAATATCAACTTATTTTGACTTTCACCTGTTAACTCACTGTACACCTAGGGTTAGGGTTAGGGAAGGGCATTTAGATTTGACAATGGCTCGATTAACGCGATATACTCGTGTATAATAAAGCTGAAATTGTTGTAACACGTTTTCTCTTTCACTGACCAAAAAACGGTCCTATAGCATGTATTCTTGGTATACAGTCGAAAGACTTGAAATGAAAAATGTCGTGTTTTTTTTTGGGAACTATGAACTTTCTTCCTCACCTGTCACACATTTCTGTAAGAAATTTAAAAATGGTGTGGAATCAGTAAAAGATGCACCTCATGCACGCCGTCCGAAAACTGCAGCTTCGCCATATATGGTTGAAAAGGTAAAAGATTTGATTGATACGGATGTAAGATTTACAACTAAGTGTATAGCTAAATGCATTGGTACCTCTGTAGGGACCGCTCATACAATTATTCGACTTGATTTAAAAATGAGAAGGATAAGTGCAAGACGGAAACGCCATTCATTACAAAAGAGGAAACACTTGTTCGGGTAAGAATCTCCAAACAATTACTGAAACAGTTTCCTAACTACAACGATCGATCTTTCGCAAATATCATCGCTGGCGTTCACTTAAATGAGCCCAAGTGAAAAATACATAACAAAATTGGCAAATAAGGGCAGTCAAAGACCTTGCATAGCAAAAGATACCATGAGCGTCAAAAGAATCATGTTTGTAATATTCTTTACATATCAAGGTCCTGCTTTTCAAATTGTCGTGCCAAAGAGTAAATCGGTAAAAGACAAGTTTTATAAAGGCAACATCCTTCATAAATAAAAACAAATATTTCAAAAACCGTCAACCAGCAACTGGTTTCCGTGGTGTCGGTTTGTTGCATGGCAATACTTCGTCAACGAAAGTGGCCATTGTATGAGAATATCTG